GTGCCGAGGATGCCAGGACCTGCTTGGCTGCTCGCCTTTCTAGAGAGGAGACTGCAGAAGCGTTTCTTAAGTACACAGACAAATTGACCTTGCCTTCTTGTAGACTTGTAGGACATTACCTGGCCACATTCCTGACCAAGTGGTTTGGCAACTGTGCCGAGGATGCCAGGACCTGCTTGGCTGCTCGCCTTTCTAGCCAGGGGACTGCAGAAGCGTTTCTTGAGTACACAGACAACTTGACCTTGCCTTCTTGTAGACTTGTAGGACATTACCTGGTGGTCTCTCCTTCGCGGAGTGGTGAGGAATGTTTTGCAGTGTGGGTACCACGTAGCAGTGGTTGAAGGATAGTATAACATTGGAGCTTTTTTCGAGAGACTAGCCTGCACATGCGAAGGGGTGGTGACATGACGTACTTCACGTTTTTTTTCGGGAGAGGAGGGGAGGTCACAAGGTCAAGCGGCCTCGATAAACGTCGCACTATGTGGCGACAGTTGCTAACTGAGAGGTAGCTTGAATCGTCTGCAAATAATTGTTAAAAATACTGAGCCCGCGAGGTTTTTTTACCAGTGCGTGGCGGATAGCTACAGAGGCTACGGACCCCCAGTTTTGATTTCGGTGACTTCCATGGAGGCGCTTTCTGACTTGAAAAGGGCCCATTGACAAGTTTGTGGATAGTTTGTGGTCAAGTTGGTGGAAAACGAACTTGCATGTGCGCATTAACTATATTGTAAACTGTGAGGTAATGAGCCATATTTTTCTGACTGCCGCAAAAAGTGTGGATGGCTGTGTGATCTTTATAGCATTCCCAGCCACGCGCAAGAAAACAAACGTCAAGTTTCATGACGCCTTCTGAAGTTTGGAAACAATATTTTCAGTATGTCAGCTTCTTGATAAAAAATGTGTTTGCTAGCGTTATACTTGCTGCAGTGACTGGTCTAGCAAGTAGATAGCAGGAATAAAGCTTCAACTGCACAAAATAGACAAGACGGTCACCATTTACCTCTAGCAAAGCTAAGCTTTGGAAAATAATTTGTTCGCTAATGTAAGTCATGGTATATCTTACTTTCTAGGCACCCGGCCTTCACTGAGAAAAGCGGGACATAATGTATTTACTCTCAGCATCGGTCACCGTAGACACCTATCAAATGAGACGTTCGCAGATAGCGTAGACGCGCTCAAGCGTATTTTTAGAATGAACTAGTCGAGTGCTCACTGGGTGCAGCCCTAAAGTGTGAGCCACCTATTACCCGGCACCTCCCAAATGACAAATACAATTCCCGGACTGGTTTTGCAGCTTCCACTCGCCAAGCCAAGTGTGCCAGTCAGCTAGCGTGTTGTCCAGACACTCAAGATGGTAAAACCACAAACTTGGTGGGAGGGGGGAGGCAATTTCAAATTTTAAGTAAAAGAATTTGAACCTTGAAAAAAAAAGACTGCACATGAGTTCACATGCACATATCACATGCTAGTGCTATGAGTACTCCCTTAAGTAGCACTAAGGAAGCAATCGTTCCGTGTGATCACTTCGTATACCACACCACTGTGCTGCTGTTCTAAAACTGGGATGAAAATATCTGCAGTACCATGTGCACAAACTGATCAGATTCTTGCAGGTCTACCATCGAATTCGTGAAAGCCCAGTAAGTGCGCCGGTGTGGTGCAAAATTTCCGTCCCAATAAGACAAAGGCCAGTAGGTGCGCAGGTGTGGTGCGAAATGTCTGTCCCAATAAGACTCCCAAGATCCCACATGCGTTTATCTTAGAGGATTTGAACGCCTAGGCAGCCATAATTTTCTCCTCCTTGGTCGACTGCTATTCTCCCCCAATAGCTTTCTGCACCTTATGTGGTTTGTCAGTTTCTCGGGGAACTGCCCAATTTAGACCAAGTGTCAATGTCACGTGATGACGTCATTATTTCAAAAAATTTGGTGATCTGTGATGTCCACCAATGATTTTATTAAGCATTTGTGTAGACAGCGTCAGGTGCTTTTCGCGCTTGATAAGGCTTCTAAATTTTCCCTACCACGTGTATTGTGCTGTTCATTTTGTAAGAGCGCACGAACAGTATTAACTTTTCACAGTGAATTGAATACTACCTAAGGCACAATAAATTAAATACCTACTTTTTGGATTAGAAATCTAAGTGAATATGATATCACCAGATTTGTTGTTCAAGGTTCAATGGGTACAATTTGAATCTGTCTTACCATTTATTTGCGGTGAGAGGGGAACTCGTCTTATAGCTGAAAGAATCGACTCTCATATGTTTCACTAAATTTGAGCACTGCATTCGTGTATGTAAGTGCGAGACCGCCCTCTAAGCACGAATGTTGTGCTGCTTGACCCGATCTTTCCTTCTGTCTGCTCACCATGCTTGCACCACATGATGACCGATGTCACCCCGATCCCCATTTATATTCTTGAAGGTTTCAAGTAGCTATGTGAGGAAGAAAAAGAAAGTTGCAACCGATACATCTGTTTAGTGATGCATGAAGATAGGGATGTTTTGGCTGCCCAATTCTTTCCACCGATTATGACTATGAAATCACCATTTGTTTGGCTCACTCCAAGGCATAAAAAGGTGCTTTGTGTAATGATAGCCAGGGAGTAGTAAAATATAATTTTCCTTGTAGCTTCTGTGTGTAGTGACATAAGTATCAAGCGGACCATGCGAAACACCCGCGGTATATGTTCAGAGGGGTTAAAAAACTCTGTTAAATGGAACGCCAGAGCACGTGTCATCTGCTCTGGTGTTCTTTTACAAACTGCCACATCTAGTGGCCACATGATCAAGTACAAGAGGTGACATTTACATTCCCTGAAACGAGCTTACAAACCTCGCCAGCTATTGCTCGTGTCTCTCAACTCACTACATTCCCTCTGTAGGGTTTCTAGAACGAATATGACATGCACAGGCAGTAAATAATGCTACCGACTGGAGAGTAAAGCCTCGAAAAGGGGGCCATCTTAGCACTTCTGTTGAAAGAAGAGTGTACGATGTAAAGCAAAGGTGGAGAAAGGGAAGTAGCAGAACAGGAAGCTTACATATACAGCAGGGACGTCAGACAATGTTCATCAAGGTGCTGCCTCACAAAGAGTGGTGTCCAGCTGCGGCCTGCTAGCAATTTTTCAAAAATACCGGCAAATCTTCAGAAACGCTGGAAGTAAATAGTTTATTGGAACGGAAGCTGTTCCCAAGTGCAATTTTGATGCTTTCGTCCTTTTTTCCCTCTTTTTGTTCAGTATGCTTTAAGCTCTGATAGCGGCATTATAAAGTGATTCATATTAGAGTTATTTGAGTGAGATCGTATGTTGTAAGCGAAATGTCGTGAATCGCAGGTATGCTGTTGCTTTGCACGAGGCAAAATGTTGCTAACACAAGTTATACCACTATAACGAAGATTAGGCGTTGTACCTGAGTTAGCCATGTTTAGTTTTGAATTTGCAGCTTAACACGATATTCAAAGCAATGCCTCTGCGAAGCCACTGATACAGTGTCTCCATGACGAGGAAGTACATAATGTTTTATTCTTATTCGATAAAGTGTGAAGCCGAAATCCAAGCTTGTGCTATTCTTAAAAAAATTCGAAAATTTCACTTAACGCAAATGCGTGAAATTTGATCAAGTTTGTTTTGATGCTTTAAATTTAGAAGGAGCAATCTGATAGAGTGAGCAGCACTCGTTGAGCTAACTACTAACCAAAAATTTTGTGGTCAACTGTTGCACTTCTCGAATTGACACAGCTGGTGTAGCCAAATAGAAGAGACCCATAGATAACAATTTCCAAAAAATAGCTGACTGACAATAGAATTTTATGAGATGGTAAATTATCAGTAGTCAACACATGGCATGAATGCTGAGAAGCAATGTTTATTTTGCCTCAGGAGGGAATTATGTGCGCAAAGATAGAAAGCAAGTCTATAAACATTTGTTTTTGTTTGAGTATATTTTTTTCTGGAAATATTTGAACATATATCAAAGTAACCTGGAAATAAAACTCTGCTCCTTAGTGACTACAATATGTACTCTGACTTTGCACAAAATTTAAACCAAAACTACACAAACATTTCTCCTGCCATGAGTGTGGCATCTTCAGTGTGCAGTGGCACCAAATGTGTGGAGGTGACCAAATTCACTGATTTTCTCATATGTGTTTACCCATTCGTATGAAGGCCGTGATTGTTGTTGCCCGATGACTGGTCACGATGATCTAATTACAACTCGAAACGCTTTCTCTTCCTTTTATTTTGTTCTCGAGCCAGCGTCGTCCAATTACGGAAGTCGAAGGCATGCCCCATTTTCAAGCAGTGTTTGACGAGTTTTGTCTGAGAATGGGTGGCTTTTGTAATATCCCCTTTATATTCATTCAAAACTCATTGACCACTTTCTGCCAGTTTTGCTGATAAAAGTGGTGTCGCAGCCACCGCACAGAAACCTGTAAATAACCCTGTTGTGATCGTTCGCAGGGGTGCTGTCTTTGAGCTTAGAGAGCACGTTTACCAAGGTACAATTGGGCTTCAAAATTGCTCCATTCCCAGTGGGCATAGTGCTATTCGAACATAGCCGAGAAACCTTACGGAAAGGACATAAACAACGGGTTTTTTGTTTTCTCACGGCACACTCCTTGTTCCCTTTTGCATGTGCTTCTGGGTGTCATTGTTATAGCTGCTCGGATAATGAATTCGTTACAATTCACCAACCACGTTTTCCATCTATATGACTGCAAGCACTGATCACTTATGTATCCGTCACCACAAGCATGAGTGAAATAGGCAGGAAGAGACCAACAGGGCTGAAGCAGCAAAAAAGCAGACATTGCAAAAGCCACCCATGCCACGCAATATAAAACAAAACTCGTCGAACACTGCTCGACAACGGGACATGCCTTCGACTTCAGTAATGAGACAACGCTAGCTCGGGAACAAAAGTGGGGCAAGAGAATTTTTCTCGAGTCGTGATTCATTAGTAAGGCAAGTTGGCGTGCGACAAACACCGCGGCCGCATGCTAAGCGACATACGAGACAAGCAGCAAACTGTGTAACCTCCGCTCATTTGGTTCCAGGGCATACTGAGGATGCCACCTGCATATTTTGCGAAACGTGTACGTGGTTTTCGCTACATTTCGCTGTGTTAAGTACGAGTCTATATTTTATTCATGAACTGGCCTGTCTTTTGGAACGTTTTTAGGTCTGCTCCTTAGTTATAACTCTTCTTCATACCGTGGTGCACCAAAAGACGTGCTGATAATTTGATTTTGATGTTTTAGATGAATTTTTTTATTTTGTTTCAGGAACATATGCACGTGTCGGAAGAAGAAAATGAGCAGCAGAATTTTATCTTACTTTGCCACCAATGCAGCTGATCAGGAGTGACAGAAAGGAATACTACGCTGTCAATGCCGTCTGTTTGGTAAGCACCATTATATAGGGCAATTTAAAACTACTAACAATTTTTTGTGCATCATTTATATTAACTCAACGAACATTGCCACTCTAAAAATAACTAGCTAGACTGAATATGTTTGAGCTGAAAACTGAAATAAGACCGTGAATAAGCTCGAAGTGTTGATTCTTTGCCATCATAAATGAGTAAGGAGCCAACGATTCAGCTCAAAATAAAGCTCCACATATTTCATGTCTACACTATTTATGTTTCCTCACAGCTGTGTTTTTCATTGCTGGATTGTTACATAGCTTTCTGTCAGTCCTGGCACATCTTTCATAGGATGTTGCAGGCAGATTTTGTCAGCCGATTATCTGCATTTTTTAAAGAAGTGTTCCCATTTATTTATTTTATTTGCTTGAGAAGCACTAATATGGGTCTAATCACTTGCTCTTCATTATGCAGGCCCTGATATCCAACTGATTGCCTCACATCATGGCTTGTTTCACGGTCGTCACAGCCATCACCCTTCAGTTGCTGCTCGCCGACATCGTCGACAGTGTACCCCTTTTCGGCGTACCCTGACATGGCGAGCTTGTTCACTCTAGTTCAACCACATTGGCAAAGTCTCGAGTAAAAACTGGCAACTTCTCTATGCTGCTAAGTTTGCATATGTGAACTTCACTAGTTATGTGAACTGTTGTGGCGGTATGGCAGTTAGTTGCTTCTCTGATGGTGATGCAGGTTCGTGCTCATTTGTCATTATACTCTAAAATATTGCATTTCCTGTGCTTGCTGCTGTTCCTGTGGCCAGAAGTATGATTATATATGTATCCATTGTTGACATTTACGGCGTTATATTTTTGTGAGAAATCGGTACCCGGTCATAATACTCGTTCTGAATACCTTCGAAAAATCAACTTCCCTCCTAATAACTTCCGCAAACAAGTGAGTGTACTTTGCCACTTTTCCAAAGATGCGCAGAACCACTCGCTACAGTGTATCAAGTTAGAAGCTGCATACCCTTTATATTCAAAGAAGTTGAAAAGCTAAAATTATTGGCACACACAATACTAGAAATGCTTAAATGAAAAATACTAGACAGTTGTGCAGAGCAGCGCATAGCAATCTAAAGATGAACTTGAGCTCTCCTCTAGATACAAACTAATAAAATCTGGACTGTATGAACAAGAATAGTGTTGTCAAGGCCGTTCATTCATTTATGGCCCAATGGACTAAATGACAACAACGTGGTAATCAACTGACAGAAAATAGTTGCAGTGCCTTGTGTATTCGTTTCGTTATCAATATTTCTCGCTTGGTTGTGGCTGGGAGGTCACTGTTTTGCGTGAATTACACTGAGCAGATGCTCTACTGATCGCGTTTCGCTTTTTCTGACCAGGCATAGGCTACTTTAACTTTCAAAGGCGTATTTTTTATCTAATCAATCGGCCACAATTATAGAGCCGCTTTTTACCGTATGCATGTCAGGCAGTAATTATTAAGTTCAGTTGCTTTCAAACTGATAAGCTTTTTTGATGTGCAACATGTTTTCCTACACAGATACCAGCAGGTTTTTCTGTTTTGGTAAAAATAAGTTTGTTTTGAGCCTTTTAAGCTCCGTCAAAATTTTCAAGCTGTACCTGAGTGGGATGTGCCAGTTTTTCAACGCTGCTATAATGTCTCTGTTCAAGAAATCATGACATAGACAGTCAACAGCAGTAACAACCATCATTGTAGACAATGCAGGCATCACTGTTGGAAAATCACCGACAAGGCAATGGCTGTCTATCGTATTCGTGTCATCCTATGTATTTAACACTTAACAGTTTCGCCAGTATCTTCCTTGCCTTTTCGTTTTCCCTCGGATATTGTAAATACTATAGATAAAAGCTTTTTTCGTCAAACTTTTTCCAAGATTGTATGAACAAGTTGTGTTTTTATCTTACACCTGTATTTCTTTTTTATGACCCAACAGTCGACATAGAATGAAAGAAACTTGCAACGTGCCTTGTTTACATTTATTACTGAATGCTTAAAATGTGTTTTGTAACACTCCCATTCATATCTTGCTCTCTGACAACGAAAAATGACTAAAAAGTAAGTAATCTTTGCGAATAAGTGTCTTCTTTTTTTTTCATATGGCATTCAGCCACTTCAGCATGTTCTTTGGTCTTACCGACATGCAAAAGTCTGTTCTGACATTTTTATAGCTGGGCTGTTCCAACACCACTTGTTTATTCATCTACCAATGCCTTGATAAAAAGCTGTTAGGGAACAGTTTTTGTGCAAGGACATTAATATTGCACTTTTTCACACCATACCAGAGCTTTTTATTTAGCCTAAAGAATCGGGGCGGTTCCCTTAAAAAGTAAACAAGCATTTTATTAATAATGCACACACAGTAGTATAAATTTTCGTGCACGCCACGGGAAAGTCAACACGTCACCCAGCAAAGTTGACATCATGTTGCTGTTATGCTGACATCATGTTGCTGGTATGTTGACATTACGTTGCTGGTGTGTTCCGAAAACATTGCCTTAATGTCGAAATTGTGATCCTGGACGTTCCCATATCGTCATGAATGTTACAAGCAACGTTATCATGTGATCAAAAAACAGGACGTAAAGCGCTTTAAATACACGATGGCATAACATTCTGCGTTACTTGGGAATAACGCCGATCTCGAAGCGTTTATTTCGTCGTTCGGTCATTGCGCTTGGGGACACGGTTTACGTTAGTATTTGTTTTTACGTCCGAATGTTACCGGCCGCGCTCGACAAAGCGGCGCTCCATGTGTGCATAAAATTCTGTGCTGGTTCCCCCTAGTCGAAACGTATGTGACACACACACACACACACACACACACACACACACAAATTTACAATAAATTTCGACGTATACGTAGCCATAATATATGACAAGAGATTAATGTTCCCGCCGAAAGGAAGCTATCGAGCGAAACGTTCACAAGTTATTCTATACTAAAATATCCCTAGATGTTGAGGCTTCTCGAACAAACCTGTGAGACAAAGGCGCACGAGGACTCTTATATGCCCCGACTAATTAACCATAAAAACGGTATCATCCAACCGGCAAAATTACCGGTTCTTGAATTCACAGTCTAGGCATATTCTCTCCTCCAGCGATTTCCTATATCCTCTTTGAATTACCTAAAACCACAGGACAGCGAAATAAATTTACATATTTTATACACTTTAAAAATGTCACTCAATGTACCTTACAAGAGGCGACGCTCAGTACTGGCTAATACGATGTCCGAAGATTCACCTACTCGTATGTGATACCCTTCGTGGAGATACGCGGATTTTTCTCTTTGCTCTGCTATTACGCTCAGCATGCGTGGGCTACACCTTGCGAGCACATGGCCAAGTTTAGTGCAAGGTTGTGTAGGAAGGCCAATCGTGGCATATTTTCAAGTTATAGGGGAACGTTTGGCATTTCTATGAGCATGCAACATTTCATATTGCTTGTTTTCACCCTCATCATCCTTTATAATAAGCTCCCTTCTTCCTCTTACTTAGGTTTAGCGAAGAAAATTTCAAAAAGTGTTTGTCAAGCCGTAGCGACACTTATTGTATTCGAAGCTGATATCCCAACAGGGCAAATCTAAAGGGAAAGATCGAGCAAGAGGAGGTGGTGCGCACTCGCAGGAACCACAAAGTCTTACCCTAATAACTAGAAAATGTGCAACTTCAGCGCCACTGTAAAACCTTCCAGGGAGGTTGGCCACGCGCTATCACTTTCTACCTAACACTGCGCTCAATGTTTGTACAAGCCACGCGTGCAGCTGCGACTCCTTCATATAGTTGGTATATTTTATCATATATGCGGACCATAATTAAGCATTATTATTGACCCGGTGGTTATATGCAAATCTACTGCAATCAGAAATAGTTTAGATTGTTTTTGGGCCACTGTGTGTACTGATGACAAAAACACCCTACATTATGAAAGTAACTCGCTCACCAGCGCCTTCTGATCTGCGTGTTTCTGCCAGACATCGCTGAAGAAGGTTGCAAAGTCGACGTCTGGAATGGTGGCGCCAATCACACGTGTTTTAACCACGTTGTCTTCAATGAAAGTCGATACGGTCGAAGTCATACTTTTTTCTCAGTTTCTCAGCACGAGTTGGTTATGAGACCAAAGGGCTTGTAACGAAGGTGACCAGTATTACTGGCCTTCCACGGGAGAAGGAGTGGTCTTGGTAGAAGACGGGCACGTGGAAACTCTGTGAAATGATAGAGGAGATAGAATAAATAGCGTGAATTAGACCAAATGTGCCAAATTTTGGGGATGTAGTCATGCAGTAGCACGATAACGAGGTAGAATAATATAGCAGATAGTATCAAGCTCTGGGTAAATTGCGTTCTAACCGCTTATTATCATGTCAGTGTCTTGCAGATTCAGTTCAAGTTGTTCGTCGTAGGGCATAGTATACGACGGTTGCTACAAGACTGCCATCATAAGGGTGTAGCGCTCATTGAGACATGAGGTGCACAAATAATATGGCTGAGTAGCTATATTTAATGAATACGTAGATCTTATGAAATAAGCCATGTTGTTAAACGGCTTGCCTGGAATGATTAGAGGTTTCTCACGAAATGCTCTGGTCGTGACGTGAATGCCCAGTCCTAACAAAGTTCGTGCATAGAACTTCTGCTAATGGAACATTCGATTCAATTCATTTATAATTCACAAGGAGATATGTATATCAGTTTCGTTAAAAAGGCAGGGCCCCGCAACTCACAGAGGAGTTGTGAATGAAACCCTTATGTCGTATTCAGTAATACAAACGCTAGAGTGTGCAAGAAACTAGTATGATGGGCATAAAATGGGGGTAGAATTCAAACAAGTGAAAATAACATGAACCAATGGAAGGGAACTTCACAACAGGTAAACGACTGGCGTTTTGTTAGGTCTGCTGGTAGTTTGCTCTAAAGATGTGGTACGGTATGTGTGAATGTAAATGATCTATATTTGATGCGAGACTTCTGCATGGTTAAAGTACTGGAGGTGACTTATCGTATCGGGTATGGGGTGTTTTGATAACTAATTTTTGCGGAAGGGCACAGTATATTTTATGCATGATTTTATACAGCAATACGAGAACAAGGTCATCAATGCATCTTTTCACAGGAAGGATGTTAAGTAACGAGTTTGCGAATGTAATTGAATCGGTTCGTTTTAGGAAGAAAATACCTCGAAGAGCTGTGTTCTGTGCTGCGATAAGCGGCAATTAAATGGTGGAGTATGTGAGTCCGTATATTGTAATGGCATATGTAATGTGTGAATGTATGAAACTGATATAGAGTGTGCGAAGGGTGTGCAAAGGAAAAAAATGTAACGCAGTTTACACGACATTGGTATCTTCTCATAGATAGGGCAGTTTCATGCATGTGTTTGTCAGTTTAACTGACTGTCGAGATAGACACAGAGAAACTTCATATGAGTAACTTGTTGCAAAGGAAGGCTATTGAAATTCAACAATGTAGTGTTCATTAGTCAACTTTTTTCCAGTTAATACTATATAGTTACTTTTTGTTGTGTTTGCCGGAGGGTGATTAGTATGGAGTCAGTTAGATAGCTTTATGAGGACATCGTTACCTTTTATGTAAAGCTCAGTCGCCGTTTCAGCTATGGGAAACATATTGCTATCATCCGCGTATAAAATGCGGTTTTCTGAGTCATAGTCGGGCATATAATTTATGTATGCTAGGAAAAAAAGGGGCCTGTATTGGAACTCTGGAGAATTCCTCTGTTAGTTGTCTTTTGGGATGATGTCATATGGTTCAAAACTACATACTGTTGCTGGTTTGTGAGATACCAGCCGATAAGGCTTAATGGTCCTCTACGAATGCCATACTTGTCGAGTTTCTGCAGCAATATGTCTTGATTTACGAGATTGAAAGCTTTTTAGGTCAATAAAAATACTCATAGGTAATTATTTTATTTCTAAATTTACTTTCGTTGTTTCCAAGTGTTAATAACACTGTCTCAGTCGACTTTCCTTTTATGTGCCTGTTGCTGGACCTCGAAGCCTTACTACTCCGGCGCAGCTCACATCGAGCAAAGTACACGTCTTCTAGATAAAAGACTTTATTCGAACTCAAGAAGAAAGGATAAGAAAGGGGTGAGCCGGCGCTGCCACAAGGCCCAGCACCAGCTAGTAAGGAGGCTCAATAATGATGATGACTGCTTTTCTGCTGCGAGAAATGAAAAAAAGAAGTCACAACAGTCTCCCGCACTGACAGATGACGCTAGGCGACTTGCAATGGCTACAGTAGCTGTGCAGGACGCTTTACCACAGTGCCGTCAGGCAAGCGTAGAGAGCAAGTCCTGAAGATGCCGTCCCGTCCACCGAGCAGTTCTTCTATGGGAACTAAGCACCACATTTGCCTTGGACGCTGTTTTTCTATGAGTAGAACTACATTGCCTTTCTTCATTATATAATTTCTTTTTGCTTCGTTGAATGTGTAGTTCCCGAGTTCATTGAGGTGCTCCTTTAACCAACGAGGCGAGAAACTTTGCAAATTCTCTTCTCTCTTGCTCCAAAGCTTCTTCAGTTGATCGTTCGTCGTCTCGGTGTTCATTTTGAGGTCGTAAGGTGGTAGCGTTGTCAGTCTTCTACCAACAAGAATATCTGCTGGAGATTGGGGCTATGGCCTATCCACGTCATTGTACACATATGCTGAAGGCCGAGAATTTATTACTGCTTCCACTTTCGTTAATAATGTAACCAACTCTCTCTAATTGACCAGACGTCGACCAAGCACCTTCTTCAAGCAGGTAATCACAGAACGTACGAGTGTCTCGTAAAATCCACCCCACCAAGCAGCACTCGGGGAAACGAATTTCCACTGAATATTCGAGGAAGAGAAAAATGCGAGTTCATCGGGGTGCCTAATTGTTCGACAGAGCTTATGTATATCTTTGGACGTTTTGACGAATGCTCGGGCATTAGACATTCATAGTTTAGCGCTAGCGTGAAAGCGTAGGTTAAGGGATTGGCGCTACCGTGCAGCAAACGTTCATTGTGGGCAGCGTCTTAGAGTTTAGCGAAATAGTGCTAACGTGGTTTACGTGCCCCCAAGTGGGATGGTGGCGCCACCTATTTGATGGGTAATGAGTTAAACAGTGAAAATGAAAATAAAACGAGAATGTTTGCCTATGCCACCGCGCGAAGCATTGTTAGAAGTTTATTTTGTGATAATAAAAGTAAATAAGTATGAACCTCGTACAAAACGCGAAAGCATCTACGTTGCCGATTTGTTTACATTGATTTTGTAGTTAGGCCTAGGCACGTTCAAAATGGGAAGCTATCTCAAAAACTACGCCAACTTATCCGTAATACTCGGTCATCGAAGCTACTTGAAGGTAAGCGAAGCCATTTTATACAGTCGTTTGCTGCGAACAAGCTAAATCTTTCAACAACTACGCCAAAATCACTTCGAAGCGGGCATCCGAGAGCGCCACCATGTTTACGTACACTACGTGCACCTACGCTACCTTAATGCTGAAAAATAGCGCTTGTGCAGTAAGTGGTACGCGTAACGTACGTGTCTGGGCATGCGCACTTCGATTCCGGTATCACAGTACACCCGGTATCACGGTAAGCCCGGTACACTATAACTCTTTATTATCGCTGTAAATCGTGTGACAGAGGGCTCGATGTGATACGAATCTCCGAAGTGCGCAAAAGAAGTTTGCCGTCGTCAAATCTTCAACATGTTCCAAGTGAACAGCTCGTGTTACAGAACAACAAAAAATAGCGATGTAAGAGTGGTCATGGTGATGCCCTTTGATGTATAGTGGACCCGCAAAATTCACTCCACTTACAAGAAACGAAGGAGTTTAATTACAATGATCCTGGGGCATACCAGGTGAGTCTTTCAGTAGGAGGATTAGATGGCGAGAACCGTATCAGTCATCCGTCATCAGAGCTTATCCTTGTAACCGAAGCAGCCAGTTGTGGTCGAGGAAGAATCCTAATTGTCCAACTGGTATTTGGGAAGAAATGGGATATTAGTTTGTGACGCAGTTGCCTTCGTTACCAAAGTGAGCTGTTGTACACGAATCAAGTAGCACTCCACCTGTTAAATTTCTTCAGCAGACAGCTCCTCGAACCTATCACTTTCTTTCTTCAACTTTTTAGCATTAGGGAAAACCCATGCCGTTGCTCTTACAAGCTTTCGGAGGCTGCTAAAAAGTTCTTTATCAATCAGCTTTGGCACCGATGTTCTCATGTTAAAGCGTGGATATTGTTTTCTGTACCTGTCGCAACTGCCTAGAGTTTTCGAGGTCAAGTTTTGCTCTGAATTACAGACAGAATGTATGAGACGAGGCAAGCCATCCAGGCTCATACCACCAAAATTGTGAAAGACTGAGTTTGCATAAAGTCAAGCCTCGAGTGACCAAATCTGCAAAGTTTTCTTTTCCGAGACAAAATTGCTATCGAGAATATTCTGTCAAGTTTCCGATATCCTGTGTTGTGTCTCGTGCAAATGCCTACCAGGCAACGGGTTCCTTGTCAAGCCCGTAATGGTTAATCTGAGAATCAGACCAAAATGTTACTTCACTAATGTTTAGGTCACAGTTATTGATGATGTAGGCATATAAGCGGGCTGCAAGCAAAGTGACATCAATTCCAGCCTCGCCAAGGTGACCGTTTTTAACAGCGCATCTCTGGTGTTTGCCATTATTAGTATAGTGTGTACGGTACCAATTGAGTCGATGGTACGAAGGTACGCTGCAGCACTGTATGTTGACCAACTTGCATCCAAAACGATGTGCAGTTCTGCCTTTTGAGAAGCGTCTTCAGTGCCCGCTGCGAGGAACCATGGAATATTGAGCTCATGTAGCATGGCTACCTCTTTGCTTCACTTTTTCTAGATACCTAATAGCTTCAATGGCATAGCGTCATTTCAGCCGAGGTTTTCCCTCCAGATATCTTGTAGGAAGATCTTCGCCCTTACTAGAATGGGTGACAGAAATCCCAAAGGGTCATAGATCCTTGCAACAGCCTGGAGCACAGAGCGTTTGGTAATTTGATGCTCCTCTATAACCTGTAGGATATCCTGCCGGCCTAAACGAAAAGGTATCCGCCTGTTTGTTCCAATAACGTCTCAGGACTTTCAGAGGTACCTAATGTGAGCAAAGTGATTTTTCACGAAAAGTGATTTCTGGTCGAAGACGGCAGATACAGCGGGGTTTTTTCTGGCCCATTTACGG